CTAGCACCAAGATCTTCTTGCCATGGTTGTTTGCATTCCGAAGGGCGTGGCGAAGGTGATAATGAACCGCTCTGGCTTCGAGAATGGGCATCGGTTCCGAACGGTCCCACTTCCTCCTCCCAGTGACAGTCCAGGCCGAGCGCTCGAGGAGACGTTTTGGAACCTCGGGGAACTCGGCCAGGTCGCGCTCCAAAGGCGGGCCGACGGGCTCGGCTGGCAGGGCGTCGGCAGCCGACGCGAAAGCAACGAGGCCGGGGCCGCCGGAGGCAGGGTCACCCACCTCGGCGGCTATGGCCTGGCCCAGCGCCCGCTGGCTGGCGGCCAGAGCGCGGCGCCGGGGCGGGAGCCTCTCCGCCCGCCCGAAGCGCCACCGCTCGCAGTACCGCCCGACGGACTTGACTGCCGCTGGCGCCCAGGTGGACTGACAGGCGCCCAGGCCCCACGGCGACGCGTCGACCGCGCCCACGTCCATCGACCAGCCCGCCTTCAGATCCCGCCAGAGGAGGGGCGCCAGCCCATCCCACACTGCGAGCTCGGTGCGGACGCCGCCCGGGAGCGGGGCCTCCACGTGGTACGAGGTCTGCACGAACCTGAAGCAGGCCTCGAAGAGCGCGAGGCCCTCGCGCCGCACGAGCGCGATGAAGATGAGGTGGCCGAGGATGCGCTCGATGTCCGCCCCGCAGCAGCGGCCTCGCCTGAGCAGGCACCTGACAGCGAGCCGCGCACGCCACAGGCGCCTCCCCGAGGCGGACAGCCTCCCCGAGGCGGCGATGTCCCAGCCCAGGACGTTGAAGGTGCCCTCCTCATCCCCAGCGTGATCCTCGAGCGTGACCACCAGGCCGCGGCGCTCCAGCTCGGCCGCGACCCGCGCCACTGCAGCGCGGACGGCGACACGATCGTAGCCGAAGCTGACGAAGTTGTCCACGCACTGGAGGTGCCCGAACTCGCTGAGGCCAGGCGCAGGGCGACCGTCATGCAGCCGCTGCGACTCAGGGCAGCCCGACTGCTCCGCGATGCGCTCCATGATGGACTGGCACCACCACAGCGCCCACGACCAGCCCATCGGCACCACCTTCAGCCTGGGGAAGAGCTTGGCCGCGGGCGCGACCTGGCTTCCCCCGAGGCTGGAGACACCGACGGAGCCCGCCAGGACGGGCCGCATCACGAAGTACCTCCTGAGCTCGATGGGCAGCTCGAGGTGGTAGAACGCGTCCTTCAGGTCAACGCCCTCCACGTCCAGGATGCCCTCGGGGTCGTCCAGCTCGAGCGCGGCGAACGAGTCCCCCGTGGGCAGGACGACAGGCGCGGGGTCGGCGAACACGACGTTGCTGCGCCTGCAGTCGATCACCATCCTGAGGCGGCCCCCCTTCTTCTTGACAAAAAATGCGTCGACCCTCACCCCGTCGTCCAGCGAGAAGTCGATCAAATTATGAGCATGCAGATCACGAACGAAACCTTCCCAGTCCCGCGCGCACCTCAGCCGAGGGTCCGAGTAGGGAGTCTTGACAGAGCATGCGTCCAGTCGAGCGGCCGCCACGTCAGCCGGCAGCAGGCTCTGCTGAACAAAAAGCTCGACCTTGGATATCCCGCCATCGCCCCACACGTCCGAGAGCGGTACTGGAGGCACCTTTCCGTCCGGCAAGGAGACGAGCGCGGGGTCATAGCTTCCGAGGGGCGACTCCTCGACGCAGTAGCCGCCCCCGGCCACGCGAAGCTCCCGTAGCGCTTCTGCGGGAGACAGATCTCGCGGAGGAGCACCAAGTTTCTCCACAGAGCTGCTGATGTGCGCCAGGCACTGGCGCTGGGCCAGCGACAGGGCGCCTGCTGTAAAACTGCGGTCCCGCCCGACATGAGTAGACGAGTCGTTCAACCAATTCAATGCATCCACCGCCCGAGTCACGTCCCTCTCAAAACTGCTCCGCCGAAGATGTCGTTGCTGAACGACGCGGCTGAGCTCTCGAAAAGCCTCACCCCGCTGACGCCGAAGGTCATAAGGATAAGGTAGAGGGAACACATCACGAGGCACGCGACGACCAGGGGTGGCGGCGCTCGGGCCCGACGAGTGACTCGGACCTCTGCAGGAAGTAGTTCGGCCGACTGGGTCCCTGCCGCTCCCAGTGGCCGTGCCTGGCTTACCCACGTTTGCGCCTGGACTCGCGCTCCTCGCGTGCCAGGCGAAGGTTCTTGTTGAGCTTCCCCTCTCTCTCGAGCTCCGCCCGAACATGCTCGATGAGGTCCGGGCAGATCATGATGGCCGTGTGGGCGCGCGTCACGCCCGAGAATGCGGCCTGCTCCTCCAGCGAGAGCTTGCCGCCGATCCCCTTGCTCTCCTGGTCCTTCGCCTTGTCCCAGTGGGCGAACTCGATCGTCTGCATCCTCCTGAATTTTGTCTCCACCGACACTAGATTCGAGCCGTCCAGCATGTCGATGCAGAGGGCCTGCTTGAGCTGCAGGCTGAGCTGGCAGTGCTCCTGCACGCCCCAGTCTGAGGCCGCCAGCTTGCAGATCGACCTGAAGTGCTCGTGGTGGCCCTCGATCCCGAGGCCTTCATTCAGGATGTAGTCCATGCACCAGTCGGCCGTGCGGGGGCCGGGGAGCCCCCAGTCGGAGGCGTCGAACTCCTCTCGGTTGGTGAGCTCGACCATCGCCGACCAGGTGAGCTCCCTCTTCCCCCGCTTGTTGCGGGTGACTGGCAGGATCCTCGCGTCGGCCCCCACGGCGCGCTGCAAGAACCCCGGCAGGGCCGCTGAGGTGACGAACTCCACGAAGAGGGCCTCGCCCGACGGGAGCAGGTGGAGGTCCCGGTCCCCCACGCGGGAGGGCGACGGCACGTGCTCCACGATCTCGTCGCCCACCCTGAAGTCGCCCACGCACGCCGCCACGCGCCACACGCCGTCGTTCACGTCGGCCACACCACCAGCGCGAGGCGTCGTCCCCGCGGCAGCAGCGCGGCCACGCAGCAGGCCCACGGCGGGGCCAGGCGGCGGCGCTGCAGGGCCGGCGGCCGCGGCCCCCCCAGGCGGGACAAGCACCTTCAGCCCGCGCAGCACCTGCAGGTCCCCGATGAGCTCCGCCCGGCGCCTGCACTCCTGACCCGCCACTTCCTCGGCCTCGACCACGAGCTGGCGGACCTCGGCCTGGGTCGGCTCCTGCCGGAAGCCGTAGACGTCGGCCCTCCGCAGGCCGACGGGGGGCGTGGCGTACGTGCCGAACCTCGTCGCCTGGATGTCTGGATTGTCCTGGATCTGGATGATATACATGTCGCCATCTGCCGTGTAGATGACATGGTCGCTCCGGCTGAGAGCGATCCTCCCCAAGTTAAGGTGCTGGTGCCACTTGTTCTCGCCGGCGTACCAGACGTATACCCACTGAGTGGTCGCCATCCTGGCCAGCTCCAGCCGTCAAGGCACGGACAGGCGCAGCACGCGAACTCCGCGGCGTCGGTCGGCAGCAGCTCCCCAGCCCGCCTGTGATGAGCGCCCCGACGAGCACCCCCACGAGGAACAGAGAGAAGCTCACCGTCCAGCAGCGACACACCTGCTCCCCTGGGCAGGTCGGCGGCGCGGGGCAAGGCCCGCACGACGGCCCCGGCTGCGACGCCTGGGCCCAGTGCGGCCCGCCCAGGACGCTGGGCAGGGCCGGGCACGGCGGGATGCTCGGGCACACGAGGCTCACGTTGCAGCTCGCCGGGGCTGGGAGCGACGGGCAGGGCGGGCAGCGCGACAGGTAGCTCACCAGCCCAGCGCCCGCCACATCCGCGACGCGCCCCAGCCACGGTGGAAACATCCGGCCACTCGGCCGGCCCTTGCGCCTTGAGCCCCCGAATGGCGGCGGATTGCGCAGATGAAAACCGTGCAAGCACAAATATCATCGCCACCATCATCATCAGCAGCATCATCTTCCTCAGCATCACCATTACCAGTAGCATCGTCATCAGATTCATCATCGTCGTCGTCGCAACCACAAGCATCAGCATCATCATCATCATCATCATCATCATCATCATCATCATCATCATCATCATCATCATCATCATCATCATCATCATCATCGTCAGCATTATCAGCAGCATCATCAGCGGCATCATCAGCAGCATCAGCATCGCAAGCATCAGCATCAGCATCAGCAACCTCGTGAGCATCAGCAGCAGCATCACCATCAGCATCAGCATCATCTGAAGCAATCGCATCGTCATCGCCATCAGCATCATCATCATCATCATCATCATCATCATCATCATCATCATCATCATCATCATTTGCATCATCATCGTCATCAGCATCATCAGCATCATCATCGACATCATCGCCATTAACAACAAGAACACCATCATCATCAGCAGCATCATCATCAGCATCAGCATCAGCATCAGCATCAGCATCATCATCATCATCATCATCATCATCATCATCATCATCATCATCCTCATCCTCATCCTCATCCTCATCCTCATCCTCATCCTCATCGCATCCTATTCCTCCTCTTCAGAGTCCTCCTCTTGCTCCTCCTCCTCCTCCTCCTCATCTCTCCTCCTCCTCATCCTCATCCTCCTCCTCATCCTCCCCCTCCTCCTCCTCCTCCTCATCCTCCCCCTCCTCCTCCTCCTCCTCCGCCTCCTCCTCCTCCCTCCTCCTCCTCCTCCTCCTCCTCCTCCTCTTCCTCCTCCTGCTCATTCTCTGTATCATCCTCGTCATCCTCCTCGTCATCCTCGTTGGCATCCTCATCGTCATCGTCCCCCTTTCGCCCCCGCATCCCTCCTCCTCCTCCTCCTACTACTACTACGCCTCCTACTCCTCATCCGCCTCCTTGTCCTCCTCGTCATCATCATGATCATCATCATCAGCATCGTCAGCATCATCATCATCATCATCATCATCATCATCATCATCATCATCATCATCATCAGCATCAGCATCAGCATCAGCATCATTATCCTCCGCGTCCCTCTCCTCGTCCTCCTCCTTCTCCTCCTCCTCCTCCACGTGCGGTTCGGTGCCCGCCTCGCGTGCGTTGCGGATTGCGGAGGCCAGCGCCTCCCAGGGCAGCTCAAAGCTGCTGCAGCCACAACGAGATTCGGCCTCCCTCTCGTCCCCCCCCCCCCCCCCCCCCCCCGCCCCCTCCATCTCGCGATCGACGCTGGAGCGAAAGTCTGGGAAAGCGTGAGCGGCATCCTTGCTGCATCCTGGGTTCACTGGGGCTCTCAGATATCATCCTCCTCCTGTTCCTCCTCCTCCTCCTCCTCCTCCTCCTCCTCCTGCCCCTCCTCCTCCTCATTGTCCTCCTTCTCCTCGTCCTCCTCCTCATCCTACCCCTCCTCATTATCCTTCTCCTCCTTCTCCTCCTCCTCCTCCTCCTCCTCATCCTCCTCATCCTCCTCCTGCCCCGCCTCCTCCTCAACGTCCTCCTCCTCCTCATCCTCATCCTCCTCTTCCTCCTCGTCCTCCTCCTCATCTTCCTCCTCATCATCATCCTCATCAGCATCATCATCATCGTCATCATCATCATCATCATCCTCATCATCCTCATCATCATCATCATCATCATCGTCATCATCATCAGCATCATCATCATCATCCTGCTTCTCCTCCTGTTTCTCGTCCGTCTCGTCGCCTTCCTCCTTCTCCAGGTCCGGAAAAAGACATCGACCAGGTCGCTATCAACGTCATCGTGGTCGTCGTCGTCGTCGTGTTCGCAATCGGCATCGTCATCCCCATCGTCATCGTTATCACCGTCATCATCAGCGGCAGCAGCATCAGCATCAGCATCAGCATCAGCATCATCAGCGTCAGCATCATCATCAACACCAGCCATCCGACATTAGCATCATCATCATCATCATCATCATCATCATCATCATCATCATCATCATCATCATCATCATCATCATCATCATCCTCATCCTCAGCATCATCAGCAGCATCATCATCAGCATCAGCATCAGCATCAGCATCATCATCAGCAGCAGCATCAGCATCCGCATCAGCCTCGTCATCATCATCATCATCATCATCATCATCACCAGCATCATCATCATCATCATCATCATCATCATCATCAGTAGTCTGGTCTTCATCATTATGATAAGCATCCTCCACCTCGCCCTCCTCCGCAGCAGCAGTCACCAGTCCTCATCGCTATCCTTCTCTACCTCGTCCTTCTCGCTGCCCTTCACCTCCACATCCCTCTCCCATACGCTGAAATCCCCCATCATCACGACAACTACCATCATCGTAGTCGTCATCTGCACTCGTTCGTCCTCCGTATACGTATCCTCATTGTTCTCGTCATCGCTATCGCCATCACCATCATCGTCATCCCCATCGACACTACAACCAGCATCATCATCAACACCATCATCACAACAACAACCACTATCATAAGCATGTTCATCGTCATCATCGTCATAATCGTCAGCAGAAGCATAATCGACAACAGCATAATCATCATCAGCTGCAGCACCATCATCATCATAATCATCCTCACCATCATCCTAGGTTATACTTTGCAGCATCATAATCAGCAGCACCATCAACATCAACCTCCGAGTCATCATCTTCATCATCAGCATCACTGGAATCTTCAACATTATCAACATTAGCAACCTAATCGTCGTCGTCAGCATCGTTAACATTATCACCACTGTCACCATCACCATCATCCCCAGCATCATCAGCATCGTCCTCATAAACACCGTCATAGTCGTCATCATCATCAGCAGCAGCAGACGAAGCAGAAGCAGCAGCAGCCGCACTCTCAGTCACCATATCATCATCAGCTGCAGCATCATCATTATCAATCCGACCATCGTCATCGCAGTCATCGTCATGATCGTCACCAGCATCATCTTCATCATCATCAGCAGCATCATCATCGCCCGCCTCTGTCCGTCTGCGCTGTCCCCTCCTCATCAGATCTCCAATATCTCCTAGACACCCTCATCTTGCTAAGTGACTAGTCCTCGCCACCCAATCTCACGTGACGGTGAGGTGGGTCGAGCGTGTCGCTTGGTACGTCCCCGCGCAGTGCGATCCTGAAGCCTAAGTATTCCAGCATTGACACGAGTGGATGCGAAACAGTTTTCCAATGCGGCTATCACTGGAACACCGAGCACATTTGCCGTACAACTTGCAAGGGCTACACACATGCACAGGGGTCCCTTGCAAAATGGGTATATCTCGTGAGGCGCCATCAGGTTCCGACGGCAACAAGAGCGAAACTTCTGAACTCATACACGAGTAGACGGTGGCTCATTTTTAGAATTAGCATCCAGTTTCACTTTTCCTTTGGTCCTGCCACAAGACTGATCAAATCTGCAACTGTTGCAAGGACCGGGTAGCGATTCTTTTCAGAACGGGGCTTTCACAGGACGGTTCCTTGAACGCTATATGTCTACACATTGGCACTTCGTGAAAGTAGAGAGAAAGACGGACAAGCGTCGCGCATTGATGGTGGCACACTGGGGCACTCATCGTTCAAAGGTGCGCTTCCCGTAGGGACAAGAAAACTAGTCGGGATTATGACGAAGGGATTTTGGACGGAAAGATCCTTTCTTTGACGTCTGACGAAAACGCTGGGCATCCAACGATGATGCCACGAACTGAAGCCAGCGCGGATCCTGCGAAGTTGACTCCACGGACGGTGACCACGACATCCGCCACCACGCTTGCAAAGGTTGGTGTACGTCGAGGCTCTTGATGCTCTCAGTTATTTGCGTCTCTTGCGACGCACTAGGAAAGACCCCACCGCACCGAACCCAAGATGCGTTCGGACGGTAGCCGGGTGCCATGCCCTCCCGCCCCCCGGGCGCCCGCCCGACTCCCGCCCCCCCGTTCCCCAAGCGAGGCGGCGGATATGCGCGGCGGCGCAATTGGATGACACGCTGGCTGACAACACCGGGGTGGGTGGGGGGTGGAAACGCGCAGATATGATAGAGCGGCGCAAAGCCACACACAGGGAGACCCGAACTTGCACGTCGAGAAGCCGAAAGCGATCAGCGGGACGGCGGGGTTGCACCGGCAGTCTCAACGGTCGCAGCCAAGGCAAGGCAGCGCGAGCCGCCAAATGACCCCAAGGTTCCGAGGAGGGGGGCGAGGAGAAGGACGAGGAGCAGAAGAACATAGATCGCGAATGCGCAGACACGACGGGGCATGGCGTGGGGCACCCACACAAGGCCCCACGCGAGCGGAGGAGAAGGAGGATGAAGGAAGAACATGCGATGCGCATCGCTGCAGAAGCACGCTGTCGCGTCGGGTTGGCCAACGAAGACCCCCCGACGGTCACACTGCGAAAACACGCCGAAAATTTGGCAATGCAGGAGCCCAACATAACGGGCAAATCGCAGCTGCCCGAAAGGTGTGAAAGAAGGTGGCGATGAGCCAAGTTCTGCGTTCCATAGCGCCCTGATACTGCTCGCAAGAGGGGCGTCGCGAGATGCGCCCTCCACCATGGCCTGCGCTCAGGCGTCGCTGGCCGCCGCCGCCCTCCCGTTACGCGCGGCGTCGGTCGACATGGAGGTAGCGCGCAAGCACAGCGCCCCCAGGGCAACGCAACGGGCGCATCTCTGTCCGTGTGTAGAAATAAGATATCGTCGAAACGCACTGCCGCCCCACCAGCTGCCGCAGGACCACGCCAGGGCACCAAGCGCATCCCGAGATGTGGTCACCCTGCTGGGCATCCCAACAAGCATCGCGCAGGCCCCGTGAGCGCATCCAGTCCATTCGCCGAAAGGGGCCCATAACGAGGGTGTCCAAACGCAGGGAGGAACTGGCGACCAAATGAAGGGGAAGGAAGGCCCCCATCCTCCGCACGCGACGCCCTGGCAAAACACGACGCTGCAATCGATCCAAATGCGCCCGCAGATGCCAGCGCAGCCCCCCGCAGAATTCCCGAATCAGAGATTTCGCTGCAGCGCGGCCGCCAGCGGCCATTCGGAGTTCGGCGGCAGAGGCGCGCGACGGTCCTATCCACCAATTAGCACGCAGGCCTCATGGCGCCACTGTCCCCACAAAAGATCGTGTTCAGCGCCCAGCGTCATGACGACAACATCTAGCACTGCCGCGACTAACCCGAGCCCGTCCAACTGTCGTAGGAAGCCAGCCAACCCTGAGCCCCAGGGAACAATGTCGCTGCTAAGCGCCGCTCAACCTGCATCCACTGCGGAGGGAGATCATTCAGCTGGACAACGAGAAGAGAGCACACAGCCGGCACGTTTCTTCAAAACCCGATCCCACTCCTGGACATTCTTGAAGGTGGCGCACCAGACGGGGGACCCCCCGGTGCGGCCCAAGAGGAGTCCAAGTATGCCGCGCGTCATGCGAGATTGACTTCACCCTGGGAAAAGACCTCACCCTACAGCCTGGCATCGCATCACCCGCAACCTCTGCCCAGATCCCCTCGCGCGGACTGAGAGCAAGCGGAACGAAGGTGGACTTGCCGCGGTGCCATCTTGCAAAATCGCGCCGACCGAAGATGACCTCGAGGGGACCCGACTCCAGCGGGCCGCGACTGAGCATCAGTGCGAAGTCGTCGGCGTAAGCACGAAGTACCACTGCAGGCAGCAACCGGCGCAATCTGCCGATCGAGGCGACGGAGACAATCGGCAACATCAGGGGTGAGAGAGGGCAGCACTGTCGCACCCCGGCCACGATCCCGAGCCCCCCGCCCGCCCCAGGCTCCACTGAGCGAGAGGTAGCAATAGCTGCTGTCCCAGTACCGACTTCAAGGTCTCGAGCCAGGGCAGCTGGCCCTTTGAGGCAAACACCAGCTGGATGAAAGCTTGGCTGATGCTTGGGGACGCGGGCTCGAAGCCCATGAATACGTCAAGGAGCGGTCCTGCGTGAAACCGCTGCCGATCATGATTTCCGCAATACCCGTCACGTTCGACAGCATGAACCGTGTGCGAGGGAGCCCGCGCTGCTTCAGGGAGGCCCCGCTCGTAACCCGAGGCACGCTGTGCATGCAGACCAAAGCTGCACACAGGACCCTGGCTGTCGACACTCGTGACACTCAGCGGCCTCCTTTTGCCTGGGGGGGCCTGCCCCATCTGCGCCCCGGCAGGCCCTCTTCAGGGTCGGGCCACGAACATGACGCTCTTGTCGAAAGAGTTCTGCTCGTCCCGGACACGACCAAGGCCATCCACGGCGATCGGCTCCTTGACGGCGTTCTCGATTGCCACAGCAGCCAGGTCTACAACCCGACGCAACAACTCGAACGGAATGCCGTCGCGACCGAGGGAGCTGCTCCCAGTGAGCAGATCCACCTTCCTGAAGGTCCTGGTACGACTTCGTGGGATTGGATAATCAATGTAATTTGTAAGGAAGGGTTGGGGCCGAAGCCCGGACTCCATGCATTGCCAATCGACGCCACTCTGCTCGAAGACCTGACCGACGCAAAGCGTTCTGCATCTCCTGCGGATCAGATGTTGCCTCGTTCGGGGGCGCGTCGGTGGCAACGGTCTAGCAACTGCGGCCAGGAGCCGCGCAGCAAACAAGCTCGTGGTCATTGCGGTGCCGGCGCGCGATCTGATTGGGATCGAAATATGTTCGAAATCGGCGTGAACACCGCTGAGCTCCTGCATCATTAAGTCGTTCTGCAATTCGACTAGATGTCTGCGAGGCCAATCAGGATAATCTGGACGTGCTCCGCAATCGGCAGGTCACCTTGACCTGTCGCAGGACATCTGCGAAAGCTTTCCGGGCGATGGCGGGATAGCTCACGGGGCCAGCTGAGGGCGGTGCAGGAGCAAAATTTGTCCAAGTGCTCAACGTTGCAGTGGTTGCTGTTGATGCGATCGATTCTGGAGCGAAAGCCCGGGGAGGCGTGAGCGGCATCGTTGATGCATCCTGGGTTCACTGGGGTTCTCCCCTCTCCCCTATCCCTTCCTCCCCTTCCTCCTCCTCATCCTCCTCATCATCATCACAATCATCATCATCATCACCATAATCATCCTCATCCTCATCCTCATCCTCATCCTCCTCTTCCTCTCCTTCCTCCTCCTCCTCCTCTTTCTCCTCCTCCTCCTCCTCCTCCTCCTCCTCCTCCTCCTCCTCCTCCTGCTCCTCCTCCTCCTGCTCCTCCTCCTCCTCCTCCTCCTCCTCCTCCTCCTCCTCCTCCTCCTCCTCCTCCTCCTCCTCCCCCTGCGCCTTCTCATCCTCGTCCCCCCTCCTCCCCCTCCAGCTCCTCATCCTCGTTCCCCCTCCATCCGTTTTCCTTATAGCTCCCTCCCCCCTGTCGCACCACTGGAAGTGTCGACAGGGCGGGCCTAGCGTTTCGCCAGAGACCTTCTCACCATTTATGGTCCTAAAACTTGAAATGGCAAAAGTTTCCACGATGGAGGGCGGGTCGTTTTCAAAATGTGGCTCTCGCCTTAGCGCCGCGCGCCTGCGTCTCGAAAGTTCACAAGCCCTGCAAGGATGGAGGACGCTTGTTGTTTTGAAAATGTGGCTCTCGACTTAGCACCGGGCACCTTAGTCTTAAAATGGTGCGACAGCTTCAAGGATACAGGACAGCTCCTATTCAAAAAGTGGCTCTCGCCTGAGCGCTTCACCATTCGTCTTAAACATGTGCAACAGTGTCAGGGATTCGTATAGCTGACGTCCCAGGAACGGGTTTCTGGCACGATTTAGGCACGATTTAGGATGGTCAGGACAACAGTCACATTGACTCACGGTGTGAAGGTCCCAGGTATGATGCTCTGACACGGTAGGATTGCCAGGGTGCAGCAGTCACGTTGTCTCGCAGCGCTGAAATCTCAGGAAATGCGGTTGGGTACGACTGGAGACTCTTAAGCGGTTGATTTCCAGTGGGCCACTTCCTGCAATACATCAAAAAAAACTTCTAAGCGGCCATGAAGAGGAAACTTGGAGTGACGATGTATTGCGAGATTGTTGATGCGTCTTGGGTTTACACTGGTCCTCCTCCTCCTCCTCCTCCTCCTCCTCCTCCTCCTCCTCCTCCTCCTCCTCCTCCTCCTCCTCCTCCTCCTCCTCCTCCTCCCCACACGACGAATCTCGCTTGTCGCTGCATTATTTTGGGCTGCCCTGCGCCTCCAGCGTGCTGCGCGGCGCGCTCTCCAGCGCATCCGCCTCCAGGGAGGGGTACACGAGAGAGCCCGCTCGGTGACCTCCAAGGGGCCTCCGCCCTCTGTGAGCCCCCGAACGGGAGGAAGGATCGAACAGCGGCAACAGGACGACGACCGACAAGGACGCAGACGAGGATGGAAGGCGGGAAGCCGAGAAGGAAGGCGAAGGGGGAGGGGAAGGGGAAGGGGGAAGGGCAAGAGCAAGGGCAAGGGGGAGGAAGGGAGGAAGGGAGAAAGAGAAAGGGGGCAGGGGAGGGGAGAAGCGACAGGGTGCGAAGAGGCAGAGAAGGGGAAGGGGCCGAGGGGGAGGGACGCCGCAGAAGGCCGACGGGGGGGCGAGGACGTTCCTGGGCGCCGGGGGGCAGGATGCACGCCAGCTGCTCCTCCAGGAAGACGTCGTCGGGAGGCACGCCCGCGGCCCGCATCTCCCCGACCACGCCGTCGACGTCGGCGGGGGGGCGGCCGGCACGCCGCAGGGCGGCGAGCACGGAGGTGTAGGAGATGGTGTCGGGCTTCGCGCCCGCCCGGGGCATGTCCTGGCGGAGCACGCGCAGGGCTGCGTCCGCGTCGCCCGCCCTCTTGCACGCCTCAGGGCTCGGCCAGATCGGTGTCTTCGGTTTCGTTCGGTGTTCGTTGTCCCTCGTTTCGTCTCCAAGCCGCCTTTGCTGCAAAAACGAGGTCGAGACGAAAACGGCTCACGAAATCGCCAAGACACCGTGTAGGTCGACCCCTGGCACGCCTGAGCCACGCAGTCTTGCCGCTGTCACCGCCGCGGTCACGGCTCGCCGGGGCGACATTCTCGCCGTGCCAGGCCAGTGCCTGGCCCGTACGGGTCCTGATTCGCCTGCCGCCGATTGGGGTTGCTACCCTGGCCTGTACGCCTTACGCTTGGAGCCCGAGCCGTCACGAACGATGGCTGCTGCCGCTGGTGCTCGCTGGCCCACTTCTGGCCCCTGCTAGCCCTAGCTGCCGCCCACGCTGGCCGCAGCCACTGGCCCTTACGAGCCCCTGTCTGGCCCAGTTACCCCTGATTGCCGCCAACGCTGGAGGCCGCCACTAGTCCCGAATGGTCCCCGCCTGCCCTCTCGGTAGCCCTGCTTGCCGTCAAAGTCGAGTGCCGCCACGAGCCAGGACGGCGGACGGCCCAAACCAGCCCAACGCGGCCCCAAGACAGCGTTCCAGACCCCCAAGACTGCCACGAGACCCCTGAAACGCCCAAGAAGCCTCCACGAGGCACCAGTAGGCCCCAAAAAGGCAGCGCGACAGGTATGCAACGCTACAACCATGCAATAGGCGGAGGCGGAGAAGCGCGGAAGAACAACTGGACGATTGTAGCACTGCGGTTACGCCTAGCCCTGGTATGCCACTGCTAAAATCCGCCACCGTGGCGTCAGCACGAAACAGAGTGCCCAAGGCTCATGCAGGTGTAAGAGCCTGGTGGATTGTAAGATTCTTGAAGGCCAGACCGCGATTTTCCCAGAATCTCTGGGCGCTCTCGGGAAGTGTCCTCGCAGCCTCCAGGCGCGGGCCACACCCAAAACGACCAGAAGAACAAAAAAAAAATCCAGAGCTCAAATCGCCTGCAAGACGGCCAAGATGGCCTCCAAGATGCCTCCATGACGGGCAAGATGGCCCCAAGAAAGCCCAAGATAGCCCCAAGATATCCCCAAGATGGCCTCCAAGACGGTCCCAAGATGCCTCCAAGACGGCCAAGATGGTCTAAGAGAGTCCGAGACGGCCCAACAAGCGCCCTAGAGGCCTTAAGACGGCCAAAGAAGCCCCAAAGGTCCTCCAGGAAGGCCCGAAGAGACCAAAATCCGTAATGCTTCTGCGGTGTTGCAAGAATCGTAGCATTTGCCTCAAGACAACCTTCCGACAGCCCAAGACGGCCTAAGAGGCCCCCGAGATTGCCCCAAGATCGCCCAAGAAGCCTACAAGCCCCCAGGGTGGCCCAAGAGATTCCCGAGACAGCCCCCAAAGGGCCCCAAGACGGCCCAAGAGGGCTCCAAGACGCCCGAGATGGTCTTCAAGACGACCCTGAAGCGCCCCACGAGGGCCCCAAGAGGGCCCAGAGAGGCTCCCAAGACGGTTTATGATACGTCAAGCGGGCCAGGAACGCCCTAAGACGGCCAAAGAGGCCCACAAGAAGCCCCCAGAAGGCTCCCAAGAGGCCCAAGGAGGCCCCCGAGAGGCCTCCAAGAGGCCCCAAGGAGGCGCCCAGGAGGCCCCCAGGAGTGTCCCAGACGCCTTCTCCTCCTCTTGTTCCTTCTCCCCCACGTTTCCCCGAAGGGGTTCCATGACGGCTGGATCAAAGGAGCCTTACAAGACGTACAAGCTGAAGCGCCCCAAGAGGAAGACGGCCCAGTAAGGCCCCCAAGACGACTTCCAACGGCGTCAAACGGGCCAGGAACGCCCTAAGATGGCCAAAGAGGCCCACAAGAAGGCCCCAAAGAGGCCCAAGGAGGCCCGAAAGAGGCCTCCAAGAGGCCGCCATCAAGTTCCCAGGAGGCCCCAAGAATGATCCAAGAAGCTCCCAAGAGGTCTGCTCATCCTTCTCATCATCTTCCTTTTTCATTCCTCTCCTTATCGCTCTCTTCCCCCCCCCACGTGTTCCCCGAAGGGCTTCCGCAACGGCTGGGGAAACGCATACACCAATAGCGTAGCCGAACTGTGTCCAAATGTTTGGCCACATAGGCGTATCCCAAAAGGCAGGGGGCGGCGGTGATTCGCTGTAGGCGTCTTCGATCCGCAGCCCCCTAGTGATTCATCACTCGGGTGCACGGCATGTCAAATCTCTGGAAGGTTCTGGTTCTTTACTAGATACCTCCCAGTCGGGTCTCGGCCCAGCCCGCTGGCCAACTGGAAAATCTACCTGCCGCGGCCTATCCCGACCAAGACAATCCATAGATGGCCTCCAAGACGGCCACGATGGTCCAAGATAGCCTCCAAGACAGTCCCAAGACGCCTCGAAGACAGCCAAGATGGCCCCAAGACGTCCCAAGATGTCCTCCAGACGGCCCAAGAAGCCCCTCAGGCGCCTCCAAGAGAACCTCCAGGAGGCCAAAAGTCCTCTCTGAAGACCAAAAGGCCCCTTCGACGACCCAAGAGGGCTCCAGGAGGATCTCCAAAAAGGCTAAAACCTTTGATGGACTTCAGGTGTTTCCATGATCTTAGCGTTCTCGCCTTTTTGGGCTTCCGACGCTCCAAAACGGCCCCCCAAGATGGCTCCAAGACGGCCCAAAAAGGACTCAAGAGGCCCGCAAGACTGCCCAAGACGGCCCCAAGAAAGCCCAAGAGGCCCTGAAGACGGCCCCAAGACGGCCCCAGCGACGTCCAAGACTGCCCTAAAGTGGGCCCCAAGACTGCCTCCGAAGGCCAAGGGGTCCCACAGAGGTCCCCAAGAGGCCCCAGGAAAACCCCATGAGGCTCCGTCGAGCTCCCCAAAAGGCTCCCAGGAAGCCCCCTGGAAGCCTTGAGAGGGCCTCCAGAGGCCTCCTCCTCCTCTTCTCCTCCTCCTCCTTCTCCTCCTCCTCCTCCTCCTCCTCCTCCTCCTGCTCCTGCTCCTCGTTCTCGTTCCTCTCCTCCTCCTATCTCTTCCTCTCCCGGTGCTCCCCAAGGGGGTCCACAACGGCTGGGGGAGCACACAGTCCGATAGCTTGGCCAGACCTCGGCCAAACGTTGGGCCGCATGGACGCTTCCAAAGCGCAGGGGGCGGCGGTGATTCGCCGCAGGCGTCCTAGATCCGCCGCCCCCTGCGGTTTGCCAGGGGCCCACGGCCTGCCAAATGTCAGGCTGTCCCAGTGTTTGCAATTTTTACAAAGGCTGCAGCGGGGGCTCAGGGCCGCTCGCGCGGGCCGCGCGGAAGGACCCACAAAGACCCCGACGTCTGCCAACAGAAAAGTCCCCAAGACTGCCCAGTGGGAAATGGATGATGATTTTGGCGAGTGGGGGATATGCATGATGGTTTTGGCGAGCGGGGTATGCATGATGAAGTCTGTAAGCCTCCCCATGTGCATGGAGCCGGCGACGCTGGAGGCTTCGCATCGCCAGTCAGTGTTGTTCCACACCCCCTTTTGCCAATGCACCTCTGACGTGCACGGCTTCTCTCTCTCTCTGCCCAGATGACCTGCAGTGGCCTCCACGATGCCTCCAAGCCGGCTCCAATGCCCCCAGGGGAGCAGCCCCGGAGAGTCCCAAGGTGTTTGCAAGACGGCCCAATTTGAACCCAAGACGGCCCGAGATGGCCCCAACATGGCCCAAGACGGCCCAAGAGGCTCCCAAGACGGCCCACGAGGCCTCCAAGAAGTCCTCCAGGAAGGCCCGAAGATGCCGAAATCCTTGATTTTCTGTCGGTGTTTGAAGGATGTTGGCGGTTGCTTCGCTTCGGGGACCAAGGCGGCCCAAGAGGCCCCAAAAATCTGCCCAAGAGCGCTCAAGAGGGATCGAAGATGGCCCCATGACGGCCCGAGAGGCCCCCAAGACGGCCCCAAAAGGGCTTCGAGACGGTCAAAAAGCCCTCCAAGACGCGCAAGCAAAAGCGCCCCAAGAGCGACCTAAGACGGCCCAAAAAGGACCCCAAGACGGCTTCCAGCGGCGTCAGGCGGGCCAGGAACGCCCTAAGACGGCCAGAGAGGCCCACAAGAAGCCCCCAGAAGGCTCCCAAGAGGCCCAAGGAGGCCCCCGAGAGGCCTCCAAGAGGCCCCAAGGAGGCGCCCAGGAGGCCCCAGGAGTGTCCCAGACGCCTTCTCCTCCTCTTTTTCCTTCTCCCCCACGTTTCCCCGAAGGGGTTCCACGACGGCTGGGGGAACACATAGTCAGATAGCTTGGTCGAGCTCTGGCCACAACGTTCGGTCACATAGGCGCTTCCAAAAGCAAGGGGACGGTGGTGATTCGCCGCAGGCGTCTTCAACAACATATGGCACACTACGAACACAACTAGAAGTACTCGTACATATCAGCATAGGCATGTTCAACTAGAGTGAAGTAATCGAGTACAGCCATACCAAAAAAGGCACGTCGACTGGCATCAGGCACACAGTTAAAGCAACAGCGGTGCGACTATGAACACGGAACAGAAGTGAGCGCAGTCATCTCCACAATAGTCCTACAGTCATCGCAATGGTCACCTGCATCACCAGCACCATTCACACAAAATGAATACTCGCAACTACCGCTACGACTATCACGTCAGTCGCACTCCTTGCTTCCGTGGAAAGGCCTGTAGCACGCAGTTGAAGTGAACTACATTCGGCTCGAACTGGCCTCTCGCATCCTGCAGAAGTGCCTCCGTCTGCGTTACGTCGCCACCGGAGGCCACCGCGGACATGACGGCTGACAACAAGAGGGCGCTCACCAGGATGCCTTCCTCGCGCATGTCGGTGTACACCTGTAAAGCGCCCCGCACGTCCCGCACCCGCTTGTGCGCCTCCACGAGCACGGCGCACACAAACTCGTCGGGGCGATGTCCCGCCTCGCGCATCTCCTCGACCAGGCCTCGGGCGCGGTCGAGGTCGCCCTGCCTACCGGCCAGCTTGATAAGAGGGGTGATCATCACCCAGTTCCGTGGAAGACCCAGCCTCCGCACGTCCTCGTAGCGCGCGAAGGCCTCCCCGGGCCGGCCACACAGGTCCGCCGCGTGGAACAGGGCGCTGTACAGCAGCGCGTCTGGGGCCTTGGCCTCGGCGAAGAGCGTCGCCGCCCCGTCCCAGTCGCGCTGGCGCGCTGCCTTCTTGATGGCTGCTGTCAGCGCCTCTTGGCGGCGTGCCGGGAGGAGGGAGGAGGAGGGAGGGGCAGGGAGAAGGGAGGAGGGAGGGAGGGAGGAGGGGCGGGGGGAGGAGGGAGGGGACGAGGCAGGGGAGGAGGGAGGGCAGGAGGGCGGGGAGGAGGGAGGGGCCGAGGGGAGCGGCCTCCTGAAAGAGCAGGCGGGGGGATCCGCAGCCCCTTCACAAGGAGGCCCCTGCACGAGAGCTGCTGGGCAGACGGGGCCGCCCCAACACGGGCGGCGAGCGCCTGCTCGGCAGGCCTCCTCCTCCTCCTCCTCCTCCTCCTCCTCCTCCTCCTCCTCCTCCTCCTCCTCCTCATCCCCCGCCGCCCCTCGCCATGCCCCCCCCCCTCTTTTGCGCGGCGCAGGGCCTTGTTTTCTGGATTCCCCAGCCTCTTCACGTTCTTGTCCGCCTCCGTCTGCGGCCCGGTCACGGAGATGGCCGGAGGCCCCGAGGCTGGCGCCAGCATCCATACAACACCAGGGGGCCGCATCCACCAATGGAACATCATCCTCGATCTTGTCATGCAGGCCACCTAGAGACTGGATGATCATCCACCACCACCACCGCAGAGATCAAGGATCGTTATTCGTGTTTCTTTATGTGGGTAAACCAAAAATCGATCCAGGATCCAGATCTTCGATCCTCGCCGACTCGACTTTTTCGAGCCGGTGGCCCCTAGTATGCCCCCGAAGCCATCTTCGGGATAGTCCCACCAGCCCTCTTGGCTGAGTGGTTTCACCAATTGTTCTCGGCTCCCTGCCACAACCCCTCCTCCCCCTGCTCGAAGGAAGGGTTTATCACTGCTCCTGATGAAAAAACACCCCCTCCATCACCCGACCGTGGGCGACCGACCCGGGACATGCCACCCCCCTCCCTTCACGATCCTCTTCCAAAAACGGGAAAAGCACTCTGCCTACAAATCTCGAGCATGCGCGGGGGCCCCGCGACCACTCTGCAATGGTTTTTGACAGGAACGGCGGAGGTGCCGACGTGCTGTTTGTTGCGCACAAAGTGCGCGGTAGCCGACCGTCCGTCAAAAAACAATACTGCACATTGCCTGCAAATCCAGGGCATGCGCGGGCGCACTGCGATTCACTCGGCGGGCGCCCCGCAAATCACTCTGCATTGGTTTTTGACAGGGATGGGGGGGGGTGCTGGCATATTGCTTGATGCGCGCAGGCCAACCATTCCTCCCAAAAAAACAAAGAATCCACCCAATGACGGCTGTGCATTGGCGAACCTCGCACGCACTGCGAGCGCCGAGCACGTGGCGCACCTGTCGCGGCTGGAGCACGTGGCGCAATTCGCGTTCGTGGAGCACGCGAGGCAATTGCCGCGACTCGCACGCTTGGGCCTCCCGGGTGCCTGGTGCACCTGAACCCGTGGCGCACATGGCAGGCGTGGCGCTCATCGGACATGTGCTGACAAAAACTGTACCTCGCGGCTAAATCTGGATCATGCGCGGCCATCCCGCGATCACTGTCAAATGGTTTTTGGCAGGGACGGCGGGGGTGGTGGCGCGTGGCCAGCTGTGCTGAGGCCCACCGGACACAATGATGGGCATTGGTGTTCGACAAGGATGGCGGGGGCCGACATGTTTCCCGATGTGTGCTGTCACGTGCGCAGGCGCATCTAACGCACCCTGCACGTGCCCCGAACATGGCGCACCTGGCGCGGCTGGAGTGTGCGGCACACCTGGCGCACTCGGAGCACGCCGCGCATCTGGCGCACCAGGCGTGCCTGACACGCTCGGGTTCCAGGGGTGCATGGCGCGCGTGGCGCCCCTGGCACGCGTGGCGCACCTCGCCCAAGCGTCGCGCACCTGGGGTCGGCTTTGGTTCCCAATAGCTGCCCATCCGAAGACGACTGCTGAAAATGCTCAGACTCGGGTGTTACTTGTGTGTTGGGAGGGCGGGTGGGAGTGAGCTAGACGGCTTGCGGGCGGGTGGGTAGCTTGATCACTGTTCCCTCCCCCAGGCGACTGGGGGCCAACCACGGTCCATGACAACACCCCCCCACCATCCCTTGTAAAAAACAAAACAAAACACACTCTGCCTCCAAATTCGGAACATGCGCAGCCAACCCGATGCGCCCCCCCCCCCCCACCATCCCTATCAAAAAACAATACAAAGTACCCTTGGCGGCGGCGGCGGCGGCGGCGGCTGCGGCGGGGGTGGCGGCGGCTGCGGCGGCTGCGGCGGCGGCGGCGGCGGCGGCGGGGGCGGCGCGGCGGCGGCGGCGGCGGCGGCGGCTGCGGCGGCGGCGGCTAGCGGCGGCGGCGGTGGCGGTGGCGGCAGCGGCTGCGGCGGCGGCGGCGGTTTGGCAGCGGGGGGCGGCGGCGGCGGCGGCGGCGGCGGCAGGCGGCGGCGGCGGCGGCGGCGGCGCGGCTGCGGCGGCGGGCAGGCGGGCGGCGGCGGCGGCGGCGGCGGCGGCGGCGGCGGCGGCGGGGCGGCGGCGGCGGAGGCGGCGGCGGCGGCGGATTGGCCCCCAGTAGCTGCCCATCCAAAGACGACTGCTGAATATGCTCAGGCTCGGGCCAGATTCGGGTGCTACGTATGTGTTGGGAGGGCGGGTGGGAGTGAGCGAGACGGCTTGCGGGCGGGGAGGGGGTCTTGACCCCTCCCCCTACCCCCTCCCCTCGGCCTGGGAGAGGGGGGGCCCGAGCCGTCAGAGCGCCCAAGATGGCCCAAGATGGCTCCAGAAGGCCATCGGCAGCCCAAGACGGCCTCGAAGATGATTCGAGAATACCCCAACATCGCTTAAAGAAGCATCCGACATGCCGCCAAAACGCCCCAAGACAACCCCGAAACGGTCTCAATTACAACTCCCGCCTCCCAAGGCACCTCTAAAAGAAACCAACATCCTTCAAAACCTGAGGAGGATCCCATGTGAGTTGGCTTCTCGCTTTTTCGCTTCAGATGAGTTTACTGGGCCCCATGGTGGCTCCAAGATAGCCCTAGAGAAGGCCCCAGAAGGGGCTCAAGACGGACCCAAGACGACCCCACGAGTACCCAAGAGGCGCCCAGGAGCGTCCCAAGAGGCCTCCAAGAGGCCATTTTGGAGATTCCGAAGGGGGGGGCTCAATTGATTCCCCCCCTTATGTGATCGATCTCCTCCAAGATGGCCCCAAGAGAAACCAAAGGGGGGCCCAAGACGGTCCAAAAAGGTCCCTCAGACCACCAACATTTTTATATATATATATATATATATATATATATATAAATAAAAAAAATGCCCCAAGAGGGCCCCAAAAGTGCCCCGAGTGGCTCCGCGAGGGCCCCAAGAGAGACCCAAGACGGCTCCGAGCGACCTCCGAGAAAATACTTCCAAGGCGGTTGTTGCACTGTATGCTTCTACACTTCCTTGATCAAGGCAACTCGCCTGGATATCTGTTTCTGCATGGGCTGGTGGGCAGACTTTTCCTCGCGGGCGCAAGCGGAAGCGCAGGCGCCGAGTTGAAAGGTCCGGGCCATGGGCCGATCGAATTTGCGACGCACGAGCCTAAAAGCACAGCGACCGAGCCCGGAATCAGGACCTACCGCCAGTGGGCCAGCTGGCTGAGGCTGAGCTGGCTGAGCTGACTGCAAACGGCCAGGGTAGCTGATGCATACGTGCGGGCGAATTGGATCCTGCACGCCAGGGGATGTCGCGACCTGTTCTGTATCTACAGACCGAACGTCTGCCTAGCGAGGCGGTGCCACCAGACGGGCAGACTGGAAAGGCAGCGCGCAACCAGGAAGAACAGAGTCCGAGAGGTGCAAGCGCGCACGAACCCAGTGGGTACCGTGGGAGGAAGTCGCCAGGTACGCAAACGGACCTTGTCGCCACCGGGCGCCAGGGGTCAGGGCCACAGCTGTGGCTGGTACGTGCGAAGGCAAGGCGGTAACGATGCTCCAGTGGGGGGTGCGCAAACCACTGCAAGAAGGCTGTACCACTCCTGAGTGAGACGGCAGAAGAATCTCCATAGGGCCAGCATCAGACACGGCCAGCGGAGGCAAATACTGTAGACCAGAAGCCCAGGGATGCAGACGCAAACGTGGGGACTGGCCAGGGGGCGTGTGTCGGGAAAGCCCCGAAAGGACCGCGCATTGCGCGGAAAGGGGAGACTGGGGCAAGTGGGAACTGACAACACCTTACCGGCGAGGCGAAAGAGGCGTCCTCCAGGACTGTCCAGCGACAGGGGACGGCTGATGGCCGTACGAGCGATGCAAACCAGATTGCAGGTACCTACGGCTGATGGCCGTCCCATCCTACATGTAGAAGGAGAACGAGAGAGAGAGAGAGCGCCAGGAGACGGCTGATGGCCGTAGGAGCAATGCACGTCAGAGAATGCAGATACGTCCGGCTGATGGCCGTCACATCCTTTCCACGAAGAGAGAGAGAGAGAGAGAGAGAGAGAGAGAGAGAGAGAGGAGAGCCAGGGAACGGCTGATGGCCGTAAGGGTAATGCTGAGAGGACTGGGGAGCGCTCCGGGGCACCAATCTCAGCTGTCCCACCGGTGCCGAGAACCCTGTCTTTGGCGACGAGCTCGTCTGCCGGCTGCTGTCTGGAGGCGTGTGCCGGCACGAGTCTGACCCGTACGCTGATGGCAGCCCCTGTGCTGTGGGGGCGGTTCGGAGCCCGAGTAACTCATCCGCAGAGTTGTGGCGCTGCTGGGTCCTGTCCCAGGGCAGCTGTCTGCGGGTCCAGTCCCTGAGCGACACCCGTGTTCGCTGGTACAACGGGACGGTGTACGCGTAGCCAGGACGGGACGCTGCGCGGAGGTAACCAGGGCGGTCGGACCGCTGTGTACGCAGGAACGTACGGCTGCTGGCCGTCACGTTTTCCCAGTAGAGACAGAGAGAGAGAGAGAGAGAAACGAGCCAGGGGAACGGCTGATGGCCGCATGAGCAATGCACATCGGAGACTGCAGCGCCAACGGCTGATGGCCGTCACATCCTTTTCCAGAAGAGAGGGAGAAGGAGAGGGAGACAAACCAGGGGACGGCAGACGTCCGTGTTGCCAGGCCTATCGGGGACTGTGGGCGTCCTGGGGTGCGGAGAGAGCTGGGAACGTCCCGGGGCATCAATCTTTGCTGTCCCACTGGCGTCGAGAACCCTGCCTGTGTCGACGAGCTCGTCTGCCGGCCGCGCTGCTCCGAGAGCGTGTGCTGGCACGAGTATGACTCGTGGGGGCAGCGCGGGGCCCGCCGTACTCCTCCGCAGGAATGTGGCGCCGCTGGGTCCTGGGCCAGGGCAGCTGTCTGCTGGTCCAGTCCCTGAGCGACATCTGTATACAGCTGGGACAACAGGGCGGTGTGACGTAGCCAGGGCGGGGCACTGCGCGGATGCGCCCAGGGCGGTCGGACCGCTTGTAAACGCAGGAACATACGGCTGATGGCCGTCACGTCGTTCCCAGTGGGGACAGAGAGAGAGAGAGGGAGAGAACGGAGCCAGGGGGACGGCTGATGGCCGTATGAGCAGTGC